ATTTCACCTTGCTAGCTTTGTTATGGTAACTGCAATTTTAGGTACATGGAGACACGCCACCTTCTGTTAAGTTAGCTCTCGACATCCAGGCTTTGAAAGAAATTTTCGGTGCTTGCTGTGCCTACAGAAACAGACGGATGAGATAATGTGAAAAACAGCGGAAAAAATATTGAAGTGGACTAATGAGACTGCGTACTAGCCCAGTTTTTAAATATTAATTTTTTCCATTGGTGCCCCTCGGCAAATTATCATAGCACTTTTTCGCCTTCTTTGGAAAGGTATAATGTGCTCCTTTTCTCTGTAGCAAGCAGTTTTCAGAAGTTACAATTGCAGCTCTTCATAACCATCATATGCTAGCATGGAATTGCTTTGTGTTCAGTAGTTAATGAATTCTCATTCGATCCTTTCAAACAATACAGAGAAATGCTTAGATCGCATGGCTCACACGCCACAGGACTGCGCACTATACCACGAATACTTACAAGGGTGGTCATTCAGTGGAGCGGTTTTTCAAAACGGTTTTCTTCATGTCCTAGGTACTCACTCGTGGACTAAGCTGAGGTCCATTGTCGCTGAGCGGTCAAGTGAAGATCAAAAAGTGGTGAGGAAATGGTCCAAGGTTCAATCCCCAGTGAAGTTAAGCTTTTGCAGTTTTGTTGGAGCTTCCAAATTTTCCCAAAATAGCATCAGCGCAAAAACTAGATATCGTTATCAGGACCATCGTTGATTATTACACAGGCTTCTACAGAAATAGGCGGAAAAAACCTGTAGCGTCAAAAGGACACCAAATAGCGCCGCAGTGTCGCAAAATGATGCTATCGAAAACCGATGTTATGTTTTTGACTAGGGCATCATATTCCTTCGAGATTAGAGGTTTTCGAGAAAATTGATTTTAATTAAGATCAAAAATATCCATTGCCCCATTGGGTACTCCAGCCGACGAACTGGAAATGAGTTTCCTCGTTATGTTTCTCAAATAAAGAACCGAATGGACAATCCAAGCTGGTGACGGACAACAGGACACGCGTGATGTTGAAGTTATCAATTTTTCTCTTCATCGAGTTCACGGACCGTAAGGTCTCCTTCCTTCTTCTAGAGGATAGTTCGAACGTTTA